CCTTAACGTCCCACAAATTTTTTTATCACATACAAGGGCTTGTGAGACGGGACCTCCATTTATCGTCCCTATCCGAGAAGACTAGAAAGTCTAACCATTTGCAGATATTATTACAAAGGCAGCACTTTCTTCTCAGTTATTTAAAGACCCTGAGTGTTGGTCCGGCCGGATTTGAACTCACGACTGCTCCTGCACAACAGTCCAGTGCTCTACCAATTGAGCTAACTGGGAGGCGGTTATAATAGCTCAATTGGTAGCTCAATTTAATCGAGGTTCGACTGTAGCCCTTTATCACTTGTGAAAAGAGCAACACACTGACTGTGACAGGTAACTCTTTAACTCCCAAGATCTGATAGTCAATTCTCCCCTTTGGCTGCAACATATTTCCTTGTAAGCTAGTTACAAGAATTTGGTGTTAGATCAAGGCAACAACTTATATCTGAGTATTCTCATTACCTGTTTGCTGAATAATGTATGGATATTATAGGAAGAAGTTACATGTTAATCACTTCTGAGTGTGTAAGAGTGAAGTATCTTGCCCTAGAACAAAGCACAATGACCAAGCCAATTAAGGCCTCCACTTCCACCTTTCCACCTGCAGTTCCACACTGGGCCAAAAAAAATCCCCCTGATTAGTGGAAACTGCCCTAAATATGTTTTTCCCATGTTGTGGACATTTTGCTCATACTTTACTTTATCCCTGTTTACCACTATCATCATTATCAAAAACTATACACCAAGACCTCAACTTACCGGTAAAATATATTATTTATATGTTTTCTGATATATGCTCTAAGTCCAAGAAACTTGCCATATATTCTGTGGAGAACTGTCTTAAGGAAATCTCGTTCCCTTGGATCTTCACTATCAAAAAGATCAAGAAGCTAAAAACAAAAAAAACAAAAAAAAAAAAAACAGAAACAAAGCAATTCAACTTTTTGCTAGTCATAAAAAAACTTCAATGGTTGCAATTGTGTTGTTTTCATCTTTCACGCTAGCCATTTTCTGGGTAAACTTATTTTTGTGGATTGAGAGCTATAGCTGTATGCAAAAGATCTGCTATAGGTAAAACTCTGATAATATTCAAACTACAGCCAAAAGACAGTTCAGGTAAGTACCAACAAATTATTGTCAAATCTTCATAACTTAACAGATTCACTTCTGTACTGGTTTAGCTATTTTGTAATGACAAAAATATTTCATTTGAACAAATTTCATTACCTGCATGACAAATTTTTGATCAATAAATTTCTTGGCCAATGCTGGCTGAAAATCCTGAGACTCCAGAAACCTCAGGAATAATTCATACACAATCTAAAGACAAAAAGACAGTAATAAGTCCATTTGAAATAGCATCAATAATTTTGCTACATCTTAAAAATTAAATTGTTCAAAACTGATAAACAATGTAGTAATAACTTTGTAGTCTGCTGAAAATTTTACCTAATACCATAATTCTTTGAATTAGCATCTAAGGTGCCTATTCCAAATTTAGGTAAAGATGGTCATGCCTTTGTGAGGGAAACAATTAAACTACATTTCTTCTAAATCATGGCCACATAAGATCTTTCTTTGGAAGAATCCATTTTACAAACAATAAACAATGACGTAACCTGTGTAACTGATTTTAATGTTTTCATTTTAGCATAGTTGGTGCTTGTTTTAATTTTTCCCAAAGCTAACTTGTTCTCAAACTAAAAGAAATGGGGTTATCAATGAAGAAATCTATTAAAACAATTCCATACTTCACCAGGTTGGCACATGTGATCATTTATTTATCAACAAAGGGGCAACAATAATTTTGGTTGTGGGAGCACTTCTCTCAAGGGAGTGGTGATTCCAGGGAAGAAATAATTTGAGGATAAACAACATTCATTTATCTTTGAACTTACTTGAAGATGTGGCCAGGCAGCTTCTAAGCTTGGTTCATCTTCTTCTGGATCAAACTCTGCTCCATTTGGATTTGATGGAGGTGGTAGAGTCCTGAATGTGTTGACAGCAAACTGCAAAAACCAGTGAACACTTCATTCATTCACTCATTCATTAAATCAAATCTCCCTTCAATTTGCTTTCATGAAAGTATGAAAGATAGCTGTACGAACTTGCTTTTAGACAGTTATAAAGATGTTCATTATACAGAGGTTAACTATGACCAGCACCGGACTTTTTTATATCCTGGTAAGGAGTCTACATGTGACTGGATCCGCTGGGTGGTACATGAGACCAAGGCATTATCATGGTAGTCTTTTCAATAGAAATATTGCAAAAGAAAACCTCATCTTCCTTAACTGCTCTTTTCATCAAGTACTAAAAAAATAATTATCTGAACATTCTCTACAGATAAATTTGAAAATGAAAGAAAATATTACTTGACCTTTTCTTCATTTTAGGTAGACATTTTACTAGAAAGCCACCAAGTATTTCTAGCCCACCCAAACACACTTAACGCAAGTTATTACATGAATCAATCAATACACATAAATTCTGCATCTTTACCATGCGAGTTACTTCAGGATAAATGGGTTCTGTGATCACATTTTTGTTGTGAGTGATAAAATCAACAATCTCATTGAGTGCTGCTCTTTTAACTTCCTTGAATTTGAGGTCACTCAGTGGATCCATAGCAAAGTCAAACAAAATGCAACACTGCTGAAGTTTTTGCACAAAGAGTTGTTCTCTCTCATTTGGTGCTGTGTCTGCAAGAAAAAAAGTGAATATCTAAAACATATGCTTAAGCTACAAATTCCAATAACATAAAATATTTAATAATTATTCCTTCAGTGCATGGTGAGTATGGGAAAGTAAATAGCCAACAAGGCACACAATGCTGTGTTGGTTATAACCAATCCAACATGCACAAATCGAATAATTTCAGCTCTGCAACAGTTCGCACATTGCATTTCCATAGAAGGTTACTCCAACATGAGCTGATAACTGGAGTTGAGTGAACCAATTTGAACACTACAAATGTAATATTAGAAAAACAATGAAAAATTAGTCCTTTGAAGGATACAACTTTCAGAGTTTTCTTCATAAAGCTATGCAATTTTCTGGCCATGGCCATTCTAATAAATGACTTTTCATGCACAGTGAATGTACTACATTGGTCCCATACACGCAAGAAATATGTGGCTGTGTTATAATAATAATAACAATAATATAATAATATACGTTAATTGAGGCTCCCCCTTAGGGACTTTTCAGCCACAATGTAGACTAAACTAAGAGCTTCAAAATCCCCACTGGCAGGAGGCAGACCAGTGGGCTATTTACAGAGCGCAGCCAAGGAGTTGAACTGGGGGCATCGGAGAACAAATCCAGTGAGTGGCAGGATGGAGGACTTGAACCCGGGACACCGGATTACATGTCCAGCACCCTAACCACTTGGCCATGCCGCCTCCATGTGTTATTTGCTTCTAAGCAGCAATTATGTATCATTTCTTTGAAAAAACTTTGCTATTCAAATATTTCTTGGTTGTTTTTGCCTTCCTTTTTATTCACAGTGGGAGAGAAAAAGATAAAATCAGTCTAACCAATAAAAAATTTATTTTACTGTGCATGGACTAAGTCATTGCTAAATGCCCTTTTCACTTCAGATCAAATAGATATATACCACACAAGTGAAAAGTGCTTCTTGTGCACAATGATTGGTTGGTTCGGAGGTGATAATTAAGTACATTTTACCTCTGAACAGCCAAAGAGACAAAATCCTGAATCAACAAGTTAAATCTTAACCATTTCCATTGGTGTATTGACAGAAGTAAACTTTTTTGGGGGGAGTTTTGTGTGGTATATACTAAAACAATTATTCACCTTCGTGTCAATTAAAGTGGTGGATATTTCCCTTGCCCCCTCATGACTTGGTAAATAGCCATCATCATTCACCAAAAAGGAGCTGAATAACTGCTAACCACTACTTATTTCTATTTATTTATCAACAATATTTTAGGAGAGATGCCCAGTTCAGCATATGCTGGTTTAAATGGAGCTCTGCATAAAACAAACTAAAATACAATTACATATGATACAGTATAAAACAAATGTATAATATAACTAGGAGAATATTTACAAGTGAGTTAATTAACTAGAAGTTATTCTAAAGTAAGCTTTAAGTGACTGTTTTAAGTACAAAAGACTTTCAGAATTCCGTGTTTTGGATGGTAGAGAGTTCCAAGTTTTTGGTCCATTATATCGGAAAGAAGACTGGTATTTTGCAGTTTTTGCTAGAGGTAAACGAATCAGATCTTTTTTCCTGGTATTACAATTATGGAAGTGTCTAGAGAATTTGAATTCGTGTAGCAAGTATTCTGGGACTAGATTGCTAAGGCATTTATAGACTAACAAAGAGTTTTGATAGCTTCTGCATGCCTGTAGGCTGGGCCATGAAAACATGAAATGCAACTCGCTCTCTTTAATTTTCCTACATTCAATGATGCTTGCAGCACATCTCTGTAGTTTATCAAGATAGTCTTTCTTTGTGGAACTACATCCATCCCATACACAGCAACAATAGTCCAAGAGTAGTAGAATCATCGAGATGTACAGTGTGATACAGGCCTCATGTGGTTAAGACTTTACGTGCTCTGTGAAGCATTCCAAGCCTGGATGATATCTTGTTGGTAATGTGATCTGTATGCTCGCTCCAGGAAAGGCATGGGTCAAGAACAACTCCCAGATACTTAAAGCTGAAAACTCTTTCGAAGACATTGTCGTTGGCATTGACGGTAAAGCTTCTGGTCATGTGTAGTCTCTGAGCTGTACCAATTAACATTACCTTGGTTTTTTTTTTTTAAATTGAGGAATAGATAAAGGCTGATAGTTTCTAAAGAAACTGTTTGGGGCTGCGTTGGTGGGGGTAATGAAATAACTTGGATATATCAACAAAGTTGAAATGGTAAATTGGCCACCGTAACGATTACAAAAGCTGATGTTTCAAGCGTTAGCCCTTCATCGGAGCAAATAGAGGAATTGTGGGTTGTCTGTGCTTTTAAAGGCAGAAAATGGAGCTACATTATTGGTGGGCACATGGCAACAAGAAAAACATGAATAAATTAGTGGAATGAAAAGCATTCATTGATCCCTGTGGGATTTAGACTGCTCAACAAACGCTTTTCATTCCACTAATTTATTCATGTTTTTCTCGTTGCCATGTTCCCACCAATAACGTAGCTCCATTTTCTGCCTTTAAAAGCACACACAACCCACAATTCCTCTATTCGCTCCGACAAAGGGCTAACGCTCAAAACATCAGCTTTTGTAATCATTACGGTGGCCAATTTACCATTTCAACTTTGTTGATATATCCAAATTATTTCGTTACTCCCACCGACGCAGCCCCAAACAGTTTCTTTCGAAACTATCAGCCTTTATTCATTTGAAAAAATCATGGATCACCAGCTTATCATTAACTTTACTATGATATAATGTGTGCTTTGGAAGGTAATATTCTGCCAAAGTCTTTGAGATAGCCCCCGCTTTCAAACAAAGCTGATTTTCCGGCGAGATCTTATTTTAAAGTAAAAAACCAAAAGACGGTAATGAGAGAATACTAAACCGGTCTTTTTTTTATGAATTGAGGAATTTTTTCCCCGAGTTAAAATTCAGTCTTATTATTCCATTGCATTCACTGGTTCATTTGAATTAGAACCAGTAACTCTTGATGACAACGGAGCTTTCGTGTTTTTGCCATAACTGCAATAGCATCTCTGGGTTATAAATATTCGCTATGAAGCCTAAGAACGTAAAAATTCTTATCTGAGGCTGAATTGTCGATTTACGGCTGAAAACACTCTTGAAATGTTTTTTCAATGCGGACGTTATGAGGGATCAGGTTTCTTGTCAACCTCTCATGTAAGTTGCGCGAATGCCGCTAACAGGATGTCGCGCCCACAAATGTCTTGCTAAATTTGGGTTCAACCAAGAGTGTTTAGGCGAGATAAAATTGAGGACAAAAACCGGCGTNAAGATTGGTGTGACAGTTGCAGATTTCCAGTCAGCAGGAATTGCAACCTCAGCCAAGCTTCTATTCATAAGGACGGTTAGTGGTTTCGCTAGAACACCACATCCATCTTTGAGAAGGCACGGGGGAGTGTTTTCAATGCCAGTCCATTTGTTGGGTTTTATACTCTTAAGTTCTTAATAGACAAAGTCTGGCTTGATCTCTGAAAATCTGAAGTGATCATCAGTTAGTACCTTAGGAGATCCGAGGTGGACTACGATTGATCATAAGCTCTGTCTGATCTTTAGAATCACTGTACTGAAATAATGTGCGAACCCTTTAGATATTTCCTCGGGTTCGAAGACAAGACCCTCGTCTGTTTCAATGCATCCGATGCTAGAACTTTTCTTGTTGGATGATATTATGTTCTTAAGAGTTTTCCACAGTTTACTCAAGTCCTTTTTGTTTTCATTAATTAGGTTAATTAATTATGTTAGTTCTAGAACTAACATCTTTCCCACAAAACAGAAATTTACTTCTTAAATGATCCATTTTCTAAGAATGGACAGTATTGTCACTTAAAACACATTTCAGTGATTTGTTAAAAAACTATTCACTTTTGAAGGGGCATAGCAGAGTGTGAAAACATCACCAAACAACACTTGTGCCTTATTCATTTCAATTTACAGGGTAAAAGACACAAAACTGCCAACAACAGAAAACAGCCCATGTGTAATCTATTTAACTTAATGGAATTCCAAATTTTGTAAGAATAAAACCATTTATACAAAATTCATAAAATATATAAATTTCCTGAAACAAATGTGGCTAAGAGAAACCACTTGGAAATTCATCCCAGAATTATATCAGTTGGAATTCAACTGTCGAATCACTGTCCAGCAATGTGAGAGTTCCTACTAGGTAGAAGTTAAACATACTAAGAAAAATTTTCCTCCCCTCCTACAACTTGGGCCAGATATCTCCATTACTAGACATATACTTTTTGGCAGGTGATTTGACCACTATTTGACTGCTAACAAAGTACGTAAACCCCACACTAAAGATGAACTCATCAAATTACATCTTTAAGAAAAATCAATGGGTATATTTGCACCTAAAAAAGGAACAGAAGTAAAATTTCCTCACAATCCCATAATTTATTATGCATCAAGTTCTTGCACAAAGAAAACAACAGCAAAGACAACAAATTGCCTTAAGGTTTAAAATTAATATGGGGTCGTACATGTGCGGAAATCTTGCCATATTTGTGAACCACGTAAATTTGACAGTAATATACATGCTGTATTTAGCTTGAAGCAATATCTCTTTCTCTGGAAAACCGGAAGATTTTTCAAAGGAGACAAATCGAAAGAATCGTATTGCTATTTGATTTTTAATATCTAAGAAGATCAAATTGATTAATTGAAGTTCCTGCGGAATTGGTTTGAAACATTTATTTTATCGACCCATCAGCTAATCGAGTTCTAAAGCTAGAAGACTTTCACTGATATCGCAATTCCAAGCAAAACTTCGTCCAGCAGGCTTTTAATGAAATTCAATTTGACTTATTGCTTAAAAATAAAAGCAACGGTAAAAACATTTACGATCACAAAAAGGATGAACTTGTAAACAAAGCAAACCCGATGATAAATCAGACCTTCTTGTCACAGACGTCCCTCGAGGTATAAGTGGAATGTTGGTAATTGAGTAATTTACGACAAAACTGTTGGAACACAACCGTGAAAAGGACAAACGACTGACCACTGTGAATCAAAAACAATTTCTGCTGTAGCAAGGCACTTTCCGAATACCTACCGACATACTAAACGCGCAAAGTAGACAAGATATTCTCGAATAGCGTCGTCCAAACTTACCTTTCAGAGGAGGCAATTTCATTATCTCCCGATTGTCGCTCACGTTAAAAGACGATGAACTCTGTCGCTTTTCCTTCCTCATAATCGACGGTCCATTTGCATATTGTCTCAGTTTGACCGCTTGACTGGGAGGATGAGTAACGGATTGAGACTTTGCTTTGGCCTACAGAGTTGAAGAAATATCGAACAAGAAGAAAAAAAACTTAGCAACACCAGTCGACACCCATCCCAGCTCACAATATCTTGATCTATAATACGACACACTTAAACCACAACGGACTTCTTGCGTTAAATGGCAAATTTTCACCTTACCTCATCGCTTACATTGTCACCGTTTTCTTTATTTGCTTGCTTCGCACTTCCCCCGGCCTTAGAAGCCTGCTATTTGACCAAGAGGAATAAAGTAAGTTCATAGAATCAGGGATGTCATACTTGCCAAACTCACCATGTCCATATCCTAGCTTCATACTGCCAAAACATACAGACCACAAAGCTTCCAAAACATTACCTTCTCTTTCTTTCCTTTATTTGGCATTCTCGTGATCCATTTAGCTAGTGTACAATGTAAACATAGATGAGATAAACACAGATTTTGCACCAACGACGTCGAGAACCCGTGGGTATCAATATTATGCACCTCTATTTCGGAACAGCAGCTAGCTGTTCACTGATTGGTTGATATTTTCTACCGCATTCAACAAATCACGTGGTCTCTTCTTTGATGAAAGCGCGGGAACATTTTTGTTGATATGATTTTTTCCTTCGTACGCAAAATAATATCTTGGGAGATCAAAAAAGATCCTTTATGAAGATTTATGAAAGATTAACATCAAATCTTTTTTTAGGAAAATTGTACCAAAAAGGAAACAATTTACGAACAACCTGACATTGTACGAGAACGATCAGAAAAATGGATGCGTAGATTCCGTGTAGGCCACTGAACTAAACGTAAACACGAGCTGAATCAAATTTAATGGATTAATTTAGTCAGAATACATTTTTTCAGTCATTTTTTGGGGGTGATTTAAAATCATTTCATTGTTCTCAAATTCCTATTCTTCTACAAATCCATACCACCACACTTTTTTGTTTGTTGCATTGGATAATGCATTCCAAAGAAAAATATTTGATCGTTTCCCCGCAAGTTGAGATCAGATTTTATGTACTAGTCCAAAATAGGACCTCAGATGCCCTTGGAGAAATCCTTTCTGTTCTAAATCTACGTGCCTATGACTCAAGAACGAGTCCGGAGACCTCTGGTTTTCATCACATCAAGATTCAACTTTCTAAAAGGTATAAAATATCTACACAGTCCTTCTCAGGACTACTCCAACGCGGACGATCGTTTTCCAGCCCATCCTCGCGCTACAAATAGCTCGTCATACACGAAGGGAAATAGAAAGCGCCGCACAGACCCTCTAGGTTACCTTGGAAACTGACCGTAACCCAGGAAACGGAAAACATAATACCATTTAAGCTCTTTTCTCAAGAAAACTGTTGACGTTACTTGGAAACTAATAAAGCTGCTGCAGTCGAAAGGGCAACAGGCTCATCTTTAATGTTCTCTTGGTGGTCGCGTAATCATGTGGGGAATTTTTAGACGATCTAGGCTAAAAACATTTGTTATTCTGAAAGAAATCATCTTTGGGTGGTGTGCTTTCACCAAATTTGTACCCCACGAAAAATGTTTAATTCAGCTGCATTTGCTGAGAATTTAATCGACCGAAAACGCAGTTGAATTTGTAGTTTTCAAGGTGTATTGGTACACTTTTTTGTAAGTTCTCAAATATATTCAATGTTTTGTATAAATTCAGTAATTCGTTCCAGTATTTTATATTGGATAATCTAAAGATGGCTTTGCAGGTATTTCTAATCGGGTCAAAGGGGAGGGGGAAAGCAGGGATACACTCCTACCCGGGAGACTTACTCCTGGAATGCGTCGCCCAAAGGGGTCATGATTTTCGCACTATTGTTGTAAGAGTTTCGTGAAACTCTCAGTAATATTTCGAAAGTTCACTATGAAAATAATTTGCCCGAGAAAATACGATCGATAACGAACAAATTGTATTACTCGTGACGTTGAGTTCGGTGGCATTTTTTAAGGATCACTCATTTTCAAAGTGCAGATAAATTCAAACTGACGCGATCGAGAAATGCATTCTAGACCCCAGACCTCGCGACGCGCGGTTTCCTACCCGGTTATAAAACCATTTTGCATGAACAGGTGTAAACACGCCTATTTTACCATCTTCTCCTCTCGATTGCCATCGTTCGCCTGATTGGTTGTTATAATACAGCCCTGTGGCAAATCTCAATACCACAGAAAAGCACATAAATAGTAATTTGTCAACTATTGTTTTGGCGTGTAACAACGCCCTTAGTCTTTTCTAAGCCTCGAATGTACATATATATATATATATATATATATGTATATATATATAAAACAGCTGATAACCTCTTCATTTTCCCGGCGACAAGTCGTCGAATTTTAGCCGAATCACTCGAGTATTCGCTTGTGAAATATCGTGCATTACTTGCAGGTGAGTTCCATATAATTAATTCACAGAACCTGAATGATATGCCGGCAGTACTATTACAACTGAAACAGAGGGCTTCCTATCATTTGTTCACTTTAATTTCTATAGCGAAAGTAGAAAGTTATCTAAACTGAATAGAAACGGTCTGATAAAAAAAAAAAACCAGCCAGTTACGACTACAATATTCCTAAATATAATGAAAAATGGAAATTGTACAGCCCGTCGAACCGGCAATGTAAACTGATTTCTGATGATACTGGTACAAAACAAATCCAAATGTTATTAAATTTCAAAAAGGCAGAGCGACTTGTTCGAAGAAAAGCGCCAATTTTTCTCGTGATTTTCCATTCTTTTTCCTTTTTCTGTTTCAGTTTTTTTTTCTTAGTTGCCAACACACCATATACATATATTTAAAATCAGCCATGCGACTGAATCTAGTCTATGAACTCGTAATTAGCCGGTTGGAGATATTCCTAGCGCGAATAGGCGAAGACCAAATAAATCAGCTTGAATTATACATTAACTCCTTGGGGGCGAGAATATTCTGGATATGTTCAAATATTTAAAGACTGGTATACCACGGCATTATAAATAGAAAGATAATTCCTGTAAATAATCGAATTTTGACCAAAAGGCTTCCTTTCTCCTACCGCTCGTGTGACAATACGCTGAAAAGTGAGAACGGCGGGTGTGTATGTGCGTTTATTTTATTATATATTTTTTTGATGGATTGATCTGCTAAAAATGTCGAGACTTATCTAATCCTGCTGTGGATTCGCGCCATTTTGCGGTTTGTTGTGAATTTTCGGGTTTTCTATGCCTTGTATAAATACCCTGAAGAAATTTAAGCCAGTTAGGTTACACATGCCTATTCGATTTCTTCCTACTCTTCAAGTGAAGCTTTTCCCTTTTCCCAGAGAACTGAATAATTTCCCTGCGAAAATAATGAAGCTTTGACAATCCATTCACAATCAAGCTAAAATTGTCTTTCACTTCTTTTGGTTGCCAATATTATTAATTCAAGATAAGTCTGGAAGAAATGAACGTCCTGGAGATTACAGAATTTGATAAAAACGGCTAAGTGCGATCCCCTCTATGCAAATGAAGTTGAAAAACCAAAATGCACCTGACAGCCGTTAGGGCACGCCCTGGAAGTGTGGAATTGAGTTTTCGTATTTGTAATTTAAGCCAGCTCACTCGCAAGGGTGGTGGAATATTGATATTTAAAAAGTAGGATTTGCATTTTTACCCCTCCATGCTTTTCTCACAGCATGCCGCTGATTCAAGAAAATTGAAGAAAATTTGAAGAAAAATTGAAGAAAATTGAAGAAAAGTTGAAGAAATTTGTTTTTAAGTCTTTAAGGCACCGGCCGCGCAAATCCGGTTTCATAAAAATCAGTTTTAGTCTCGAACAAAACGAAGTAAATTACATTTGCCTAAAGTAGCCTTTTTTGTTATTCTCTCAGCTGTCAGCACCATTATTGCGCTTATATTTCTAAACGCATACCTTTTATAGTGTTTTCAGTTACCGTCCATACCAAAACACCCGAAAACATTGATGTTAGCCGCTAGATTAAGACAATTTTTTCGTCACTGTTTTAAGATAGATGCATTTTATAAACGCTCACTTTGGAAACTGATTTTAGTAGGCTCTGTTTTCTTGAATGTTTTCGGGTGTTTTAGGGTCGGATGATAGGCAAAAACACATCCAAAAACAAACCTGATGAACATGATGAATTATCTATGACATTTACGGAATTTTTTTACTTTCGACTTATAAGTTGATTTCATCACTGATTTGACGATGTCAATTTGTCACAAATTATCGGCAGAAAAAGCAATTAGGATCGAAAATGCAATGATAGCCTCCAAACAAAAAAATTATTCAACAAGTATGATGGTCCCATGTGAGTCTCTTCCACGTACTGAAAAGGGCAAATGAATAGCCGAGTGCCAGCATCATCTCAGCAAAAAGAGTTTTTCATTATTGTATCTCTTCGTTTCATTAGTTCGTTGATTAAATCTATTTCCGGAAGAGTTGTCACCAATTTTTGCAGGATAAGGGAATTAAAAAACCGGGTCGGGTAGTTCAAAGTTGGGTTAAGATAACCCAGGGTTAGTGTGAAATTTGATTTTAATTAGATCTCAAAGCTTTAAAAGAAAATTCAGTTTAATTCCATTTGTCTACAATTTGATTATTGAAAGCTCTGAAAAGAATTGGGAAAATTATCCCAAAATGGCTTTTGAACAGATAAATGTAGAAACCTGGATTAAAACTTTATTTAAGCCGCTAATCGGCCTTCGATCAACCGAACCCAGGTCATTATTTATCGCATGGGAGGTGGGGGGGGGGGGAATTTGGTGGTGTCACAATAAAATTTACCAGGTCTCCCCCATAAGGCTCTGTGATTTTCTTATGATCCCCTGTCATTGAGATTTAATAGGCAGTCAATTTCTATACTGCATTGGTGATGATTGGTACCCCATAGGTCCCCCCTGAACACCATGTGATAGCGCCAAAATTCTCCACCCCCACCCCCAAGTGGTAAATAATGACTTGTCCCGAATGATTTATTTTCGGTATAATTTGCAGAGTATATGTGATGCATTCAGGACCGAGTTGCAAAAACTAGTCATCGAGTACACCTTTTCTAACTTGTGTACAGAGCTATTAAAACAAAGAGGGAAATGTCATTATATCAAGCTTCAAGGCAAGCGAAAATAAAGGCCACGGGTGGAGTAAACACCTTTCCATCTCAAATCAAATAGCAACAAGATTTTGTTTAGTTAGCTTCTGACAGCTTTACTGAAAAGGCTCATCATTGCTGTTGCTTCTTCGGAGTCAATGTCATTACCGCTTAAAATAAAAATTCCTGTCCAACGTTTCTGTATCCGGGAGAAGTTTCTTGTTATGCAAAGTCAGTCCAAACAGTAGGAATAAAGGGCCGAGCCTTTCAATCTGATTCCCGGACACAAACCTTTTGCGGGACTTTAGCCTCTTTCAAGTGTAAGAACCAAAGGTAATTAGAGCGAGAAACTTAACAGTGAGTAAGTCTTGTAATATGGTATTTGGGCAACAACAAGTTTTTTTAGCAAAATAATTTATACAACATATTCCTTAGGAAGCTTCACTTTATTCTTGCAATTAGGCTTGCGAAGTTAATTTTATTAGAGGTGATTGAACTCTTTCCCGATCAAAAAGTGACATATCAGCGAAAGTGTAACGTGTCACCGTGCTATTTAAGATGGTTCACGCGTTTTCCTTTTCAGGGATACTGGGTTGCGAACGAAATTCTCGCATCCGTTTCCATGCTTCAAGACCCGGGATCGGATGGGACTATCGTCTAAAACGGACTTTAATTAATATTCGTTGTTTCCATATATTTCCCATCACCATGTCAAATCACCTCCCTAGTTTATTCTCTTTTCTGTTGCAGAATGCAATTAAGAGCGTTGTTACTCGATACTCCTCGAATGTGATACTCGCGCATCAAAAGTAAACCTCCACCTGCGCCCGGCAATTTTTCGTCCGGGTGGATTAGAAAAACTGCCAAGTGTCTTCTGCGACAGAAACGAGGGCAAACTTCGGCGATAACATAACAGGCCCAACCTCGTTCCCAGGGTCTTTTCCCTTTGTTGAGGGTGGCCCCACCCCCAAGACCCTGGGAACGAGGTTGCCACCGGACTGGTCTCCCTGGCAGTCTGAGTGGGATCCTAAAAATGTTGCGGTGCCCTATGGGGGGATCGGGACAATTTCACATTGATAAAGCCAAAATTTTCTGAGTCACTCCCAGGCCGAAGTCGAAGTCTAATGTAAGAAGCCTGGTTCGTGTAAAGAAAAATTGCATTTTTGTATTACAGTTTCTACAGCTGGGCAATTCGGCTTAGGTTAGTCAGCCATCTTCTTAAGTTCTTCCTCTCAGCAGCTCCGATCCGAAAGATGATTCCCTGAAAAATAGTGGAACATTTCTCCGTCCATCAGTCATGGAAACTTTGATCAAGTGCTCTCGCTCTGCCTCGTTTATTTATTTATTTATTTATTTATTTATTTATTAATTTTTTGATCGATGTTGCCGTGGATTGCCAACGTAATTAACTATTTGCTTGGCAGAAATTTCCCAATTCTGAACACTCCCGGAAGCCCAGTGGTTGAGAAAAATTCCTTAAAAATGTTGGTGGGAATCTCCGATCTTACGGTTTGAGGGTCCCGTCCGTTCCATTCCCAGGGTCTTGAACGGGAGGGATGGTGGGGGTGTGTGTAAAAACCAGAACGAGGCTATCGAGTTTACCAGTCATCATGTGTGAACTAGCACGAGACATTTCGGCTGTTCCACCCACCGGAAGTAGACTAGAGTACGGCTGCTTTTGGCAGACTTTGACCTTGACCGCGCTCCATCTAACGTGTAACTCATGATATCGGTTTGTAGAGTGTTTGAATTCCGATGCTTTGGAGCGAGAGATTCTTAATTATATGTCAATCATGTTAAGGAGGACTAAGGAGTTCTCGATATAGGTACATGAAGGACAAACTGAGATCCCTTTGAGTGTACACGTATTTCGAAACACAGATCGGACTCTGACCCTCAAGTGCGCAGATCCAGTGTCTGGTATTAACTCAAATTTTCGTCTGTTGACTTTGAGCCAAGGGTCTTTCATTCAAAACAAAGAACATACTCAGGCGGAATTAAAAGACCAGATGCTAAGTATGCCGACTCTTTCTAAGATTGGCTAGACTTGCGGTGCCCATGGGCGTGCCTATTCAAAAGAATTTTCACGTGCAAATTAGAATTCGAACACTGATGCATTGTTCTGCAAAGAAACACCATTGTCATTTAATTGATTCAAAATTGAAAATTTCGTCTCAACAGTTTGTGATAAGATTAAAAGATGCATTTGTTCTCAACTTCTGAAAAAAAATGTTTATATATTTTATCAAAACTTGGCACGCATTGGCACCTTGTCTAGTATTGACTTAAAAGGCAACATAATTTGCTTATCGATGGAAATGAGCGACAGTTACTGTGAAAATTATGCAATCTCTTATTGCGTCAGTGGACAGTGAAATTTTTCTTAAGTCAATTTAAACGAAATCTATTTCGAGCTCGAGGAAGTTACTCTCAAAAGGTGTTTAGTTGTAAGGCAAGTTGTAAGGCGTATTTTTCTTTGAAAAAACCATCGTTAATTGATTATGTAAGCTCTCTTAATTATAACATATTTGCTCGTGCAAGACGAACATTGGTCTCGCAAATGGCTTTCCACTACAGGGCAACTTTTACGAATACGGCTTCTAATTGGTTAAAAGTTCACGCGCCATTGTTTTCAGCCAATCAGTACACATCTGGTGATATAAATCAATCTGTCTGCACCTCATGCGTTGCTTCCCGATGGTCGAGTGCACGGGTAATAACAACAAAACGGTAAACGAGGTTTCAAAAAAAGCCGGCGAGTTATTCATATCTAAGACGAAATTTTCGTCTTCCTTTCCCAGAATGAAGGAGATAAAGTACTATAGCTTCGAAGAGGTGAAGAAGCATAACAGTCAGGGAGATTACTGGGTTGTCATCGATGGTGGAGTTTACGATTTGGGTCGTTGGGCTCCGCATCACCCCGGCGGAGAGCTTCCGATACGATACATGGCCGGTCATGATGGTACGGACGTTTTCCGAGCCTTTCACTTGCCTTGGGTGACTGAAAAGAAATTGCCCGTGTTTAAAATTGGTGAAGTGAAAGAGGAATGCCAATGGACGGTGCAGGAATCCAGTCTGGTCAAAGACTTTCAAAAAGTTCGAGATGAAATCGAGCACTGTCTTGACACGAACTGTAAGTTGATCTTTTGTCTCAGCGTGGTTGTAGAGTCCAATAGTTTGTGCTTCTTGTGACTGTGGCTGACATTGGCTGATCTAAAATGTTTAAATATTCAGGATTTGGCGCTTTGAACGTGTGAAAATCTGCTTTTAGGCATTAGGGATCGTTTGGATGCATGGAAAATCCTCTTTGATTTTTACTGAATAAAATCTAAAACCCACTCCTGTTTCGATAAAACCTCGTTGTTGTAACAGAGTAATTTTGCAATCGCATTGACAATTCACTTTGGCATCTTCTAGATTTTTTACATTTTTTTTTCCATTGGATTTATTTGTGACGTGCTTAGTTTACTTCAGTTTATTTACAATTTCACAAAAATGGCTTCCTTAGCTTGGCAGCATGATAATGTTAGGTCATCCTGAAAACACATTTGAAGGCGATTTTGAATTATTTGGGGGGAGTGGTTCTCCTTCGTTTTATCGTTCCTACACTTATTCGTAGGAAGATGCTCGAGTTCTATAACAATTTTAGTATTTACCCATGCGGATTTTAAGATTAGTGACAAAACTTGACCCTAAAAAGGAAAAAAACTTCCGCGAACAGCAGAATTCATATTTCCTGATTCTTTGTGTGTTATTAGCGATTTCATGTATTGGAAAAACACCTATACTTGGGAACAAAGAATCGATAGCAGGAGCGGTTATCGGAAAATTTCTTCTGGAGACGTTTATCTTTCAAAAATTTCTCAGCTAGCGTCAAATGTGTTTTATTATACTTCACAGTGTACATATAACTTTTTCATTTCATAATCTAGCATAAACAGAATCTTGTCTTATTAGACCGACCTTCCTCAATGCCGAGGAAATCATATCAGTTCATGGAATTGTGAAAAACGAGGGAAAACTTCATTTTCCTAATTCGAAACACAGTAAAGTGGGAAAGTGAAATTTCCACTATTATCATAACAAAGGAGTCGATCGTCAATTTGCTTCCGTTCTGTCATGTTGCTGGAGTCATAATTAGTTTGAAAGACGTTTCTTTTATGGAACATCATTCATATCACAATGGACATGTATAAATTAAATAATAGGATTTAGTGAGACAAAAGGATAGAGTTTACCACATTTTTCTGCTTCCAAAATATTTTTTTCCTTTAAACTGTGAAATATTTCATCTGCTTTTTGATTTTTTTTTCTAGATGTCTAACGCCAGGTTGACCTAAGGAGCTGGTGTAGAAGTTTTTTGTTTCTTGTCAGAAATACTATCACCCTCTCCACCAAAGTGGAAAAAAAAAAAGAAACTTGTCACAAGAAATTAATTTGTGAAATTTTGACAAAGGGATGCAAAATGATAAAAATTCTTGTAACTTATTTATGGAGATGTGTTGAAAAATTATCCCTAGCTTAAAGGAAAAAATTGGTATGCAAATTGTTTGATGAACACTTAAAGTTCAAACCAGTGGCCAATGTGGTTACAGCTGTCCTGAGCATCTCAGACAACTTTTTAGATGAAACTGAAAACCAAAATTCAAGTACTTCTTAGCTGTCAGTAATGTTATGAAGCAAAGCAAAAATTATCAGTGAAACAAATGATTATTCAATTCAGTCTGCATACCTAATCACTAAAATCCAAACATGAAAGGAGAGAGAAGTTATGATGGTAAATATCTGGTTTAGGTAAACATTCTCATCTTTAATAACCTAGATAGCTGTTAGGTTTGTGATCAGGACACCTAACTAGTGCTCCCCATGGGTGACAACCCACATTGAATTTAGTTTTCAGGAAGATCAAGCTTGTTTTGTTATTTCTCAGTATTTGTAGAACTCTCCTCCACTGATGCTTTTGTCAATTAACACGGCAAGACAAAAATAGCACCTTTATTTTTACAATGCATGGTGTGGGGTATTTCTTGGATGAATTTTATTTCCTTTTAGTTAAATTGAGTCATGCAGTGGGTTCTGAAGTTCCTTGCATGCTCTCAGTGCCTTCCCATACCCTTGATTTTCACCAGCATTAAAGACGAGGTACACATTTTCTGGGATAATGTGTAATTGGAAAGGGATCATGCTTGCTTGATTCCTAAATATATGAACATGTAGGACAAATAAGGAAATACATGTGCTTTGGAAAAATTTTAATTTAAACAGGACTGAGCCAAATTTTAGCAGATCAGCTGACAGGGTTTGACTCAGAAAACACTGTTCTGCTATTTTTGGTTGATTCAGCCCTAGTTTTTGAGGAATATGATGTGCAGAAAACACTGTTTAACAGGCAGGTGGGGCCTTTTTACTCTAAACTAGTTCAAAAGGGGCTGTTATTCAAGGTTTTTGAATAGGCTATTACTTAGGGAAGGTGAGGCCTTTTTACTCTAAAATAGCTTGAAGGGTTGTTATTTAAGGTTTTTGAATAGGTTAATAATTAGAACTAAGGATGAGTCAACAAACGAAATTATGGAACAATGTTTTTTATGTTATATCAAGTTTGATGGGCAGGACTTAGCATAATACAGTGAGAACATGAAACAAGCCCCATAAAAGCAAAATATGTTTTTTTTAGAGGAGACCCTTCCATAAAAAAAATTTCTACTTTGGTTATCAAAGTCCTGAGTTATGTAGGGGTCAGAGAATTGAACCACTTTCTCAGAATTATGGAAGTAACTATTGCTATTTCCTCCACAGGTAGTAAGTTGTCATCTCCTAACCTTTTGTCCTTTGATCTTAGATTGGTACTATGCCGGGCATGCAGTCAACTTGAGTGTTATATTTGCTTTGCTCATCTATGGTGTTGTGTTCAGTAACAATGTTTACATACAAGTGGCCTCTTCTTTGCTCGTGGCACTGTTTTGGCACCAAATGGCATTTGTTGGACATGACATTGGTCATACAGCTGTCACTCATGACTTGAAGACAGATAGCTTGATTGGTATATTTGTTGGCAACATGACGACTGGTATCAGCATTGGATGGTGGAAGAAAAGCCATAATGCCCATCACATTGTGACAAACTCAGTTGAGTTTGACCCAGACATTCAACATCTTCCAGTGCTAGCCATTACTGACAAGTTTTTCAAGTCAGTGAGGTCCATGTATCATGAGAAAGTTCTTTATTTCGATGGACTGGCCAAATTTTTTGTTTCCTACCAGCACTGGCTGTATTATATAATAATGGGTGTTGCGCGGTACAACTTGTACCTGCAGAGCTTTCTGTTAGTGTTTTCCTTACCCAAAGGAAGTAGAAAAACCCTGGAATTACTTGGATTGGCTTTCTTTTGGACCTGGTACATTTACTTGTGTTCCTATCTGCCCAGCTGGCCGGCTCTTTTCATTTTTGTCTCTGTGGCTCACTTCTTTGCTGGGCTCCTTCATATTCAGATAACCTTGAGCCACTTCTCTATGGAAACTTATCACGGTCATCCCATGGATGCTTTCAAGAGCAATGAGTTCCTTCTGTCCCAGCTGGCAACAACTATGGATATTGAATGTTATCCCTGGTTGGACTTTGTCCATGGTGGTTTGCAGTTTCAAATTGAGCATCATCTGTTTCCAAGACTACCTCGTCACAAGCTACGTAATGCCAAGGTGAAAATTCAGGAGCTTTGTAAAAAGCATAACCTCACCTACAGATCTAAGACTTTCTGGGAGGCAAATGTAGAAATCATCCAGAAACTTAAGGAGACAGCTACAAAAGCACAGTGTATCTCTCCCATCATTTGGGAAGGAATTAATGCAATTGGTTAGAATGTATAGCCATTAAGTTAAGTGTAATTTGATGGTAAAGAGAATGGCTTAGTGGAATAAAGTCCACTGTTGTAGTTAAAGGTATTCAGTTCTCTCCTCATGGTATTTAGTTATTGTCACAAAAGGGTACAGCAGATGTATAATTTTTTTTTTCTTATCCCATTTAAGTACATTAATTATTAATTTCCTTGAATTCAATTCAATTGGGCAGTCATAATGACATTCATGCCTGGTTAAATCAATTTCAAGATGAAATGGTAGACTGTGGATTGAGAAATGGAAAATTTTTTGGTGTGGTTGTCATTCCCTCTCAGCTTTGTTCTAGGAAAATCTCTACTGTGTTTGGAGGTGCCCTCTTTTTTTAGTAAGAAATTGTAATTGTTGTATTTAATTGAGGGAGGGACTGTCACAAAATATTTGTTTTTAGGGACAGTGGGGAGGGGGCAAGGGTGGGTTACAACTGCATTTAGGGAGTGGCAGTGTGTTGAAAAATTGCCAGTAGAAATAGCAAGGGAAAAAAGGTAATGTTAACTCTATAAACTTTGAGTCTTGGGTAGGTGGGTTGGTTAGATTTGTTATTGATGTATCTGTAACTTATTTTTCAGCAAGTTTTGATACAGAGTGTCTCAAACTTTGAAATTAGGAGTTGGTAACATTGGGTAGTAATTGATTGAAAAGGTTAAGCCTTTGAGAGTTATTTCTTGAGGCTTTGCAACACCTAGAACCACTGTCAATGATGTTACCATAATTTCAGTTTCGTTTTTTTTTCTATTTACTTTTTTAAATATGAAATTAATAGCCTAAGGATGGTTAAGGGGTTATTAATCTGTAGACTTAAAGAGATGCCGATCCTTTGTTCATAAATTTTGATTCACAATTGTTGACCCCTTCTTGCGCACTTTGTGAATTTTATGAAGGGGTGAAGATCATGACAAAAGATGATTTTGAATCTAGACTGAAATTTTGAGAAAGGACATGAATTATAGCTCTGAAAACCTGTCACAATAATTGTGATTGGAAGGAAATTCTATTAGAGATGATCACTAAGAAGTTGGTAACCCAAAAAAAAACCAAACAAAACAAAGAAACAAAACGAGGACTCTTGCCACTAGTTTCAAGACTGTAAGTTATGTGTCGGACAAAATGCGACCCAGTTAGAACATTTTAATGGAATGTTTGGACTTGAGTCAAGAAAACTGGATTAAGTACATAAAGACATATGAAGCTCTGTTGTTCTAAGATTATATTCTCTCCTTTTCTAATCCTTTCCACTCTCAAGATTCAAATAACTTTTCTCTCAATGTCTGTTGTACATTTGTTACAACTATAAACCAATTTGATAATTTTTTTTTCTATTTGTGCACCACCTTCCTACCTGAAAAATACATTTATTTAGTTTGGGTCACAAAGACTTCCTCTGGCAGTAGACGGGGTGACTTTAAACCATCTCTTGTTGTAAATGAACAAGAGGAGGCCATCTGTTCTCAGGTCAAGGCCTGCCAAGCAAATTTCTCTTTTGTGGTTTCACAGGATTATGTTGAAACAACACTAATTAAGATGTATCTTTTTTCATACAATTCTTCCAAGGAAGCTTACCTGAAATGATCATGTCCCACATGCTTTAAACCAGTATTTTTTTGGCTCAAGTGTCAAATTTTTTCTCTGGGCCATTTTATTAAAGTTAATATTTTGGACAGTTGCTGATTATATTTAATTGTTGGTTAACAAAGCAAAATATATTTAAGATATTTAGACAAATTTATTGTTTGAAATATTGAGAAAAATTTATTCAAATTATATAAAAATGACTATATATTTTGAAAAGACATACTATATTACAATTTTGACTTGTATTTTATCCCTTGAACTCCCAAAAGTGATTGACTTGACATTTAGCTATAATATCCATCCATTATACGGCAAATGGGTAATAAGAATACTTAAACCTATCAGGTAGCAGGGTTGCCACGGTCAGGGAAAATCTTAGTTCTCGTCAAAGTCAGTGAAAAGTCAGAGAATTTTGTTTTGAGGGTTCCACAAAGGTTTGTGAAGTAGTCGATCAAGTGTAGCAAATCGGATAGAAAGTTTAAAAGCAATGGTGAAATGTAAAAGTGGATTTGGCCTGTTTGATAATTGATTTCATTCAAGGTCAGTGAAAAGTCAGGGAATTTTTTGGGTTTTAATGAGTGGCAACCCTGGGTAGAAGTTGTTATCCTGATCTAGTGCCAAATTCTCTGACTTATTAATTTGCAGTGAAATGTGTAGCTGCTAGAGGGCAGAATTAAGAATAATATTTTGGGAGTTAAAGGGTTAAGTTTCCTTATTGGTGTTTGAGCACAAAAACAAACTGCTAGTTATTAGTTTCAATCTACATCTTGCATGTACAAATTTTACTTTTTGGCAAGACTTAGTTTTTTATAAGATATTTGTGGTTTTAGACTGTATGAATCCATAGCAACTTTTGGTTGAGACTTAAAATGGCATACAGGATTTCTTAAAACTATGAAAGTAACTTTTCATAGTTCTAGGTTATTAGATATACTGGCAGTTTATTAAATGTTCTTGTTTCTTGCCCACTTTTGTTTCATTTTACCATGCCCTGTCTGGTAGACCAAGTCTTTCCCCAGCTTGGAAAGTGGAAGCTACATAAAAGATACAAAATGGCTATGCATGGACCCAAATTCTTTATTGATGTGTTTACAATAGTCTTGTTGAGTGGGTTTCCTGGAAAAACCGTATCAAGGATCACTAGATCAAGAGTCAAGGATCAGTTGAAAATGAATAAAATAAATTAATAGGAATGATTGATTGCTCCCGTAAATGACTAAGTCAAGATCTCTCATATGCTCGAGTGAAAATAAGAGAAAATAAGTGAAATTGGCACTAATATAATAAATATAAATATACTAAATACTGGAAAAGCCATATCACTTTGTGGAAGTGCTAACTTTTGCCTACCGACCACTAGGACAGCTATTAAAGACTAACAGCTACAGAGTGGGTTCACTTCCACATATACTGTATTCACATAAAATTTCCAAATTATCCCTAATGTCAGCATGTTTTTGTGTATCTGCCTTCCATTGCAATTTCAAAATACATAGCCATTTTTGGAGACTGCTGGCAGGAGTGAACAGTAAATTTTCAGCTGCATTAACTTCATCACTTGACCTTTCCTACTGACTTAACCTAAGAGGAGATGCATCTGAAGAATCACTTGCTTAGAAGAGGATGCTTTAGTTGTTCATCCAACGGGTTATGACAAAAGACATTATTTGACAATCGATTTGGAAAGTGTTAAAGTTGCATCACCCCTCAGAGTTGTTGTTGTGAGTCCCCTGGAGTATACTTAACAATTATTCCACAAGCGTGCATTGGATATGAGATGATAGTCAATGAGGCACGTAGTGCCGAGTTGGCTATAATCGTCTCGTATCCTACAAGTGTGAGTGGAATAATTGTTTCATCAAAAATATTAAATTATTACCAATAGAAAGTCTTGAATGGCATTATCCAATGATCTAGCTTTTAATAAATATACATATCCTTACGGTCAACCAAGACACAAAAATGCCACCCCATCCTGCGGCGCGTCCCCTTTAGCCTATTGTTAGGAAGTACACCCTCCCCCCCAGGTTGCCGCCCTCATAATCTTCCACCGAAGTAATAATAATAATGATAAATGCTTTATTTAAACTGAAGAAACTGTTCAGCAAATTCAACATAAAACGTGCTGGTATAAACTGGTGATCAGTACATAAAAATACCATTAACATACAATTCACCACCAATAAAAATTAAGATTAAATTAAAAATTACCAAAAAATATCAACAGTGAAAAAAAAAACTTAAGCACTAATTTTGTGTTGTACCTTATCTGATTCTATAAAAAGTTTTAATTTTAAAATTTCTCAGCATTTCACAAGCATGCAGTTCTTTGGGGAGGTCATTCCATTCCTTTGCAGTGGCAACTCAAATGTTGAGTGGCCCATAGCTGTTTAGTACCTTGGGAGATGAAGTTCCCTACAATCTCTGTGGGCTTCATTGTGAAGTTCTAATCTCAATGCAAAATACCCTTGAAGTTGCCTGGGACAGTGATAATCATTTACAATTTTATATACTAGTTGGAGACGTAAATAATGGTGCCTGTTAGATCATGTTAATTAACAGGCCAAGTCTCTCCTTCATTAACTGAGAGCATGTTAAGTGATTTGTTTTTAAAATTCTTTACATTGCTTTGTTCTTCAAGTATTTGTTCTTCAAGTATTCAAGTAGTTCTTCAAGTATTTGTGTGGCCTCTGCATTTTAGGAATATGTTCTTATAAATTTTCATCAATCCACTCCTTTAAAGTCAGGTGCTTGGGGTAAAACTGGCTATTATGATAGAATCATGCTTAAGGCCTTTTGAGTAATGTAGCAAAGAGTCCACAACTTTAAAAGTCATTGTACAACAAAATTGCACTGGCTCTTTACCCCAAACATCAGATGTTTAATAATGTGCCAAAATAAAAGCTACACTTTAATTTAATAGGACCTTCAAAGCTCCCCAACTTTGATAGGGTAAAATGGAACAGAAAATGTAACATCACTTCATTTTTTTTTTATTTGTTTAAGCAGGTTGATTAATTGACAGCTGTAATAGCTGATGTGGACCTGCTGTCCTAACCCACCCATCCCACCCCAGGGGAGGACATCCATCACACAGTAATCTCGTGTGTGGGAAATTAACATCTCCTGCCCCAACCCTGCAGGAGACGGGACCTCCATTTATTCGTCCCTATCCGAGAAGACTAGAATATCTAACCATTTCTTGATGTTATAGAAAGGTAGCAAATTCTTCTCAATTATTTTAAGACCTTGAGTGTTGGTCCGGCCAGGGCTCGAACCCTTGACCTCCGGCACTACAGTCCAGCGCTCTATCCATTGAGCTAACCGGGAGGCGGTTAGCTCAATGGATAGATCACTTGAAGATGATGTCTTGGCAACAAGAGCATTTTACTAAACATGTTCTCATTTTGAGTGCCATACTAAAATATTTTACAATAAAAATCTGCAATAAAATATTGGAAAACATTACACAATGTTTCGACGTTTCCAGAATGTCAATATCAAGTTTCTGGAAATGTCAAACATCATGTAACGTTTTCCAATAGTTTATCACAGATTTTTATTGCAAAATGTTCTAACAAATCTTTACTTAACCATATTAAAAGTGCTAAATTTATTCACACTACCACCTTACACTATATGAATCTGCCAATAAATTTTATTTAGTCACTTGAAAATGACATAGCAACATTGAAACTAACTTGTACACATAATAGGGTGCAAAAATGAAAGTGCTGATCATGCAGTAGTACTAAATTTATTCAGCTGCTTATTTTCTCAAAAGAGCATTTCCTTGATCACAAACATCACTTTCCACCAAGAGAAGCAAAAGTTGTATTAACCCACCCCCTGTTGATAACACTCTTTACAATAAATAGAGAAAACTGATGCACTTGACACAAGGAAATGCCTAAAATCTGATTAAACATTTTTTGGTTAATATAAATTTCTTACTTATAATACTATAAGAAAAGTTTAGCAGATTTAAGATAAATTCACCTGTCAAGCCGATTAATGATCTGAAAATATGCTAGTGAAACTTGGTATCAGAGCTGAATAACATATACACATGTGCTAGGTTTTGCTGCAGAAACACGCATTTTGAGTTGTTCACATGGTTGATTTCCTATTCTGTTGCTTTGAGGCCTCATTTTCCTTGCCACTTTTCTCTTACAGAACCACCTCCAAAAACTTGGTACACCCCCTAAAAATTTTCAAAATTTAATTTTCTTTATTAAAACCTCTGGAAATTGGAAAATGCCTTGGATGAAAACAGAGTTCCTTGGTTTTAAAAGTCAGCCCATATTATTTTCTACTAATTTCGCTAAATTTTAGACCTAGGACACTTGAGCCCGCATTGTTGACCGCATACCCTTTGACATAGCATTTCATTATTCAGCTCCGTCCAACCTGGCAACAAGGTTGGCTTTCCAAGTCAAAATAAAGCTGAACCAGGGTTAGAGTGGCCTGCACAGACAGTGGTTATCATTCCATGCAAGGGAATTATGAGCTGAAGTAGGGCATGGGGAAAAAAATGCCTCAGTGGGGGGAGGGGTAGGGACAAATTGACATGATGACAAAGTGTACCCTTCCCTCTCCACTCCTTGCTTATTTGCCTTTTTTTCCCCATTCCCCTCACAAAATGTACACTGCTTACTTTCCTTTCAATTGGAAACCAGAAGGCCTCCTACTCAGCCTGAGGGTAACTGAATGTTTTATTCAGTCTTAAAGTTTTGCAGATTGAGAGTTTTCCCACTGCAGTTGTTCATTATATTCAGTTATGCCTAAAGAGAAAACCCATCAAAATGGTCCCATATAACATACACTTAATTTTTAGAAGAGAAATCAACTTTACTGGATTGCTTGCTGTAACTTATAGAATTGACCATAAATTATAACTAAAGCAGATTCTACCGATAAAAAAAGCAAATTAAGCATAATTATTTACAAGCAGCTTAATGTTACCAAAATGAATTAAGTACTGCATGTACTACGATTTTCTGTCAAATTTTCTGTCAGCTGTCTATATCCAACAGAAATATCATTACACTGGTCCACAAATTCAGTGTTTCCCTGCAAATTCCCTTTCATCTGTGCACTGACATCCCCATTGAGTGCAGATATCATGTCTTCTACAACACCAGTTGTAGCATCACCCTTAAAATGCAAGTTCTTTACATGACGTCTCAAATGGCTTGGGTTGTTAAAAGCTTTAGGGCAAAAGCTACACTTATATGGCCTTTCACCTGTGTGGATAAGAACATGCCTTTGAAGATTTCCCGAAATAGAAAATGCTTTTGAACAAAATTGACAGCGATAAGGTTGCTCTCCAGTGTGGACACGAAGATGCTTCCTCAGAGAGCTGTATTCCGCAAACGACTGATTGCAACTTGTGCATTTATAGGGCCTCTCCCCAGTGTGAACCCGCACATGTTTTTGTAGAGAGCCTGGATCACGAAAAGCTTTGGGACAGAAAGTACACTTGTGCGGCCGCTTCCTCATGTGAAGTGCAATGTGATCCTCGAGTGTTTTGGCTTCCTTAAAAGGTTTAAAACAGATTGTACAAGTATAATGCTGCCCATCGTCTGTATGGAATTCTAAATGTTTCTGAAGTCCAAGAGAACTTCGAAACAACTGCGCACAGACTTCACACTTATAGGTAGATTTGTCATTTGCCATGTCGCCTTTCAGAAGGTCATCAACCGTTGGGATTGCATGTTCATCATCATCAGAAACCCCCCCCTGTTTACTTTCTACAGGCTTTGGGGCCAGTTCAATGAGATCAACCGATTTCTTTTCACTTACTTCAGCTGTCATCTTATTATCAGTTCTTGTTTCAGTCTTGACATAAGCAATAACACTTGAATGAGCTCTTTGAACTTCGTTTGTTTGACATGAATTTACCTGATAAACAACAGCACTTGAAGTTCCAGGATTACCTTCCTTGGTGTTACCCTCTTGCCTTGAACTTTCAGTTACTGATACGTCACTAACTAAATAATGATTATTACTATTACTCTGTGATGCCAAGTTGTCTTCTGGCTTCTTGATGACTGGTTGAGACTGAAATGTTGTTACAGGAATGCTTTCTGATGCATCCTTTATCACTGAAACATTTCTGAGAGGAGTATCTCTGACGACAGTTTCACTGTTGGGGAGTACAGTCTTCCCAGATTCTACACTCTCGTGGAAGGTTGCAGATGCTACACTCTTTGGTGGAGGACTCTCAAAAGAAGCAGCACTGTCAGGCAAGGTGTCTCCACAAACATTAACACTTTTAGCTGAATTATGAACTTCCTCATTGGAGATAGAGGTACTGAAGGAAGTAGAATCAGGTCCTTTTTCTGGAGGTTTATCTGATGCCTGCTTTGTGCCACTTATCACCGGTACATGCATGAAGTTGATGAGGATCTGAGCAACATCCATTTCTGTGGATTTGTTGTCACTAATATCATGCAAAGAACTCACTTTTTCAGGCGAGGACGAGTCATTTGATGTGACAGAGACTTCTGGAGAGTTGTTTTTCAATATTTCTTCTTGCATGGCATGATAATCAGGTTGTGGTGACTCCTCACCAACATCCATGCTTTCTGACCCAACATCAATTTCTAAATCCTTATTTTGATTTTCCAAACTGGACTGACTTTGGTCATCTTCACTTTGCTTTTTGAGGAATTCATGAGATGGTACATTCAAGTAAGGGAAGTATGATCCAAAAGGAACAAATCCACCAAATGGAAACATAAGTGGGGAGTTTGAGAACTGCGGAAATGCACCTCCCTGCTGCTGTTTGCTATATTCTGCTAACATTCCACTCATGTGACTTCTATTGTTTGCAAAGTCCAATGCAGAGGGTATAGAAGACCCAACAAATGCTTCAACTCCATGGGGTTGCGCCGTTTTGGTATTTGGCTCTTTTGCACTCCCTGTGGTTTTACCCATAGTGTGTAGCATTCCTGAGCTTAATGCATCCATGTACTGCTGCATTAAGGTACCATTTGCTGGCCAAACAGGTGGCATCATTCTCATAGGCATTACTTGGGGAGTAAATACAGGAAATGGCACTGGGAGGGCAAAGCCAAACATACCCGTATTCATTGGGTTCATATTTACAGGGGGAAGTCCAGGCTTCTCTCTTTTGTCTGTCATTCTTTTTTTCCTAGATTATAAATGAAAAATGAAGATATTTCAATTTTAAGGCTTGTTAGAATTTTAAATGCAAATGTGTAAGGAATTGATAAGACCCCTCTCCAATAAAAAGTTATGACAAAAACTTCATGAAATTTGAACTGGAAGCGGCAAGTCTTTCCAGTGGAATAAACGTGTTATATCTTTAAATATGGAGCTGTTTAAGGTATAAAGTTCACTTTTGCAAGCAAGTAGCTGAAAGACAAGGACAACTAAGTCTAGGTTTTAAAGATTGGTCAGTTATGTTGAAAGTCACAATCGCTAATTTGCTTCATTGAGAAAAATGGAGTGAGATTTTGAAAAAAACCAATCTTCAGGAGATCAAATGTCCCAGGGGTCAGTGTTGAAGCTCCAAATTGCATTATTTGGTTCAGACTTGCATATTCTGGATATTTCAGGATAACAACATTTTAGAGAGCATTTTTTGGTGTGATTTTTAAAGTCTCTATGACACCTATTTTTTTATTATTAAATTATAAAAATAGAAGTATGTAGAGGGTGTCTGGTAAGATTTGTGAGTGATTCTGATGCATCTTTGTTATTTTATGAGGCGATTAAAGTCTGAAATTGTATTGAACTTAGGCTCCCTGTATCTCTTCGGCAGCGTTAAAGAGTACTGGAACCTGTGACGTAACAGTAGTAACACCAAGTTTATCAAAGAAGCAAAGTGAGTGTGGAAGCTACTGTTAACAATCTTTTCAGCCAAAAAAATGCCATTTCAATGTGTAGTTTGGGGTTTTTTGAATACCCCGACTCGATGAAGAATATTTCTCTCCACGAGATTCCTACTGTACATGACATCATGGTGCCCAGTCCCTTTCTGCTCGGCCAGACATTTTATCTGTAGATTACAGAGCTTGATAAAAAATTCAGAAAAAGGCAAAATACTACAAATAATGGAAAAAAATGTTTAAGAGTCATTATATTTTGATGTACAATAGAAAAAAAATAAGTGTCATAGGCACTTTAAGTACTCACAAACAAGGTTGCCCACTTTATGCTCAGTATTTTGCAATATTCTGCAAATTCTTTATGCTCAAAAAATGTCACTATTAAAAAGAGATTTTGGTAGAGGGTTTATCACTGTTCCATATGAGCCTTACTGGAACACACAAAGAACAGTGCAGATTAAAATAACATTAACAAACTTAACACTTTTTGTATTGTAGCATTGATGAGGCAGCTAATGTCTTGTATGAAAATCCTGTGGTTTTGGCAAAGTTTTTATGATACACAGAGTCAAATAAATGTTTCTTTCATTTCAATTTTTCCTTACCCTTTTTAATGTTTTTTTGGCACAATTATTCCAGTATAATGAATGATTATTTTGCCTCAATATTATGTTTAAAACTATGTGGGTAAAATAAGGAAAACCCTACACACAACCCTATGTAAAATGAATTTATTTGAGACTTCTTCTAGGATTTAACATGTGATTTCTGATCAAAAGTGGCTGAAAAGGAAAATCTAGAAAACGAACTAAAAGGTTTTTCAGCCTGGGGATCAAAAAGCGATAAAAATACATCCCCTCAAGGAGAGTGTAGGCTGTTGGCGATCCTTAATTTACATGCACATATTTTGGGAACATCTCTTCAGACACTGTCACTTGGAAAATCTGGGTAAGTATAAATTTGGCTCCCCAATAACTTCAAAATTCAAATGCCATGCTCTCATCATGGTGGAATTTTATATATTTTTTTTTTTAAAGAAGGTTATGATTGACAACTGCTAGAAACCAACAGGGTAAAAGTACACCACTGGGCTGAACTTGACTCGTGTCACGTTCTTTTCAGCTGAGAGTCAAGTGATTGGCAAATGATAGCAACGAAGGCCATCAGATCTATAAAGCCCGGAGCTCGTTTCAAGTGTTGAAACCTCTTTCACAAAAAGCACAAATCATTACTTATAATTTAATAAGCAAAAGGAGTTTAATGTTGAAAGCGAACAAAGTGTTCCCGTTTGGAAGCTACACAAAAGAAAACAGTGCATCTCCGAGCGCAAGGATGCATTCAAAACTCTTCCAGCTGCTAGGGTCAGCCTAAATTTTCACGACACGCAAGAGCGAAAAATTTTGCTCATTATGAGAAAAACAAGCTGGCTCCATTTAAATGAAAACCGTTACAATTGGGATTTGTTTTTAATGCCCTGAAATAAATAAATGAGACACATTGGATTTCTTTAAACTTGAGACGGACAGCGCTAAAGACATCAATATTATCAATAACAATGACGAAGTTAGTACGGCCATATTTAATATATTTGCACAACAGGAATAATCAAGTAAGTTAGTTCTGTTCAACGTCCGCAAATCATCCTACAAGTTTGTTTACAGATTAAAATGTATTCTCTTAAAAAAAGGAGTGGCATAAAAAGAAAAAAGAAATATAGTTTCACATCACAAATGCAGACTGAGAGGGGGGTAGTTCTAATGAAAAGGTAAAACACGCGAAGCACTTCCGAAGGGTGTACCTATTTAAAATTCTACATGCGTTTTCCAAACACTGTGTAGTTTAAAACAAAATCTTTCTCAAGCATAAGAAATAAAAGGCAGTAGCTAAACAACAGCGACTTTTTAGAAGGAGTGTTCGGGTATAAAAGGCCATACAGTTTGTGTTGTAATTCTCAGTTCGTATTAGTTACCTGTTATGGGGGAATCTCCTCTACTCCTTTAGCTTCTTGTGTTTCAAGCGTCCTGCGTGGATACCGGCAAAAATTAACTACCCATCCAATTTCTCAGCAGTAATGTTAACAACACACACTACACGTTCAAAAAACAAGGAAAGAACACGGCATTTTTTATGAGGGAATACTTAGCCAGTGATGTAATATCTCGGACGTACGTCAATTTCTAGTTGCCCTGCGAGCTAACAGAACGACTACGAACGAAAAGTCGTCGAAAACGCAAGCAGTCTTGGGAAATAAGGTCACGTGATTATTGAAATCCCCAATGGTATCCCCCTTACCCAGAGTGCTTTTGGCGGGTGTTTCGCTTGAATGGGTTTCGAAATGATATGTACTTCCACGAATATTCCGGCTTCTAAGTGATTTAGAAGGAGGTTAGTAAAAATCTACTTGACTGCGATTTTGTTAGGGAAAAGGCCACTTTGCACCTTTTGTTCACGAGATCTTGTTAAATGCTCTGCAAAAATTAATTGTTTCTTAGTATTTACCCGGGGGGGGGGGGTACTCCCTTATAAGGGCTTAATGGGGACGTGCGGCCAGCCAGGGTATGTTTTTCGAGATTTTTGTCTTAAACAGGGTATCGAATTTATCATTTTTTGTCTTAATCAGGGTATCGATTTATCAATTTTTGTCTTGAACAGGATGTCTTTTCTTGGAAGATAAACAGCAAAATTTTTTACAAGCTCTAAATTTAATTAATATTAAATTCCATTGATTTTGGCTCTAATACCAGGCACATTAAATGTTTTAAACAGGGTATCAAAAATCGGAATTCTGTCTTAAAGAGGGTAGGAAAATCAGCGATATTTGTCTTAAACAGGGTCAGGGTTGAGGGGCCGCACCGCACCTCCCCACCCAGGAATATATCGAGTACCCGCCGGGGTATTTACTTGACAAAAATAATAGACAGCTGAAAGCTTCGGCAGCTGTTACATGCATGTGAGTAGGTAACACTGGAGGTCTTTATAACCGATGCGATGTCCATCAACTTACTTGAGTTCTGTCTAATCTGTTTTGACAAATTCTCACGCTGAATCCATATGATTGATCATACTTCATAATTCTAGGTTTCGAGAAAAACGTCTCTTTCGCATCCTTTTTCGAACCCCTTCACTCACTTCTAGTTCTTCCAGTTTGCAACATGCATTCTTTTATATCGATATCGATTCAGCAAATATTCAGCATCAAGAAGTGTGTTAATTTACTGTTGTTCAACTCTTCTGGCTTGAGCTTACCCGAGCCGACTAAAAAAAAGTGTTTTTTTTCGTTTTCTCACCTTGAATACAAATTTTAAACTATAAAAAAAAATTAAATTAAAAAAATAAGTAAAAAAACTGATAATCAAAAAATAATGGTTCAAAATATTAGGAGTGCATGCTCCGCAAAGGAAACTGGGAAGAGGTCCCTTAGTGACCGCACTCGAAATTCCACGCATGTGTCCTTCCTCTCGAAGTACTGGATGAGTGCGACGAAAGTTGGACCAAATCCGTCCATATTTGTGGGAATACCCTTTTTGATGTTTTAAATAGACGTCAAATGAGTTCTAGATTGATAGCAGGAATCGTGGCAGGGATCTGTGGAACGTTTTTTTTGGGATATTGTATATACTTTGATAAAAAGCGAAGGAGCGACCCACTTTTCAAGCAGAAACTTCTTGAAAGTAAGTTTCTTCCAAGGTTTTTTCAGGGAAGAGAGTTAACGAGGAAGCCAGAAGAGAAAACAAGTATCATTTTGCATACCTGAAAAGCTCCACAAAACCGTAAACTTTCATATGAGTGGATTAGTCGAATGCATAAAGAAGATTCCAATTTGAGAGGCCGTGTTCGTTAGTGATGTAACACGTGTGTGTATTTCCAAATGTCTTCACAAACTGCAGAGTCAGTATATTAATGATTGTCACGTGGAAAAAAAATTGATGATTTTGCAGTTATCAAAAGGATGTTTTGTTTATACTTGTGGTTACTATTTATTTTCTAGTGTCACCTTTCTGGAAATTTCAGAATTAAAAAAATGTGTCGCTCTCGTTATGCAATATAGATTTAGCTATCAGGGCAATTCCTAAGTGTAAGAGTATCATTTCCAAAGGACTTGATAATTGCGAGTGTAAGACTTCTTCTTTAAGTTACATTGTACATTGAACAGAGTGAAAAGTTCCTGAAACAGTTTTCTTAGCATGTGGCATTTAGCACTGTAGTAAATACTTATTCTGAGATAAACACCACAGGTATCTGAACAGACTAAGTAGTGGGCCAGGGAAAAGTTCTTGTCTGACAAGGATGTTCATTATCTATGCAGGAATATTTGAGCCTTTGCTCCTGCCATAAACCAGTATTCTGTCTAGTTACTCTGTTAATATCTACATTGTATATATAGTTTTGAGTAGAGATTAAGAGTCTGGCCCAAGAAAAGAGCACTGAAACCCCAAATTTTTTTTTCGCTTAACGAAATAAGCGTACTTTTTTGGAGTATTTCTGTGCAAAAATTTTTTTATTTGCTCAAATCTTTAATTTTCTGTGCCCAGTCAAAATACGGAAAATATCAAAATACCGCCATCTTGGCTCATGACCAAGTTTAAAGAGGAATGGTTCTAGCGGGTAATGTGATGTCAAATCAAGAACACGAAAGTTTACATTTCGCACATTTTCACTTGTTTGGGAAGGTTGTAGTCGATATTGTCTGAAAATATGCTGACTAAGTGTGTTATAGGAGGATGTAGCAA